CACAAAAATAAACTCAAAATGGATAAGGGACCTGAATGTGAGACAGGAAACCATCAAAATCCTAGAGGAGAAAGCAGGAAACAACCTCCTTGACCTCAACCGCAGCAATTTCTTACTTGACACATCCCCAAAGGCAAGGGCATCAAGAGCAAAAATGAACTATTGGGACGTCATCAAGATGAAAAGCTTCTGCACAGCAAAGGAAACAATCCATAAAACTAATAGGCAACTAATGGAATGGGAAAAGAGAGTTGCCAATGACATATCAGATAAAGGGCTAGTATCCAAAATCTATAAGGAACTCACCAAACTCCACACCTGAAAAACAAATAATCCAGTGAAGAAATGGGCAGAAGACATGAACAGACACTTCTCCAAAGGGGACATCCAGATGGCCAACAGACACATGAAACGATGCTCAGCATCCCTCATCATCAGGGAAATGCAGATAAAAACCACACTGAGATATCAACTCACGCCGGCCAGAGTGGCTAAAATGAGCAAATCAGGAGACTATAGATGCTGGCGAGGATATGGAGAAACGGGCGCCCTCCTACACTGTTGGTGGGAATGTAAACTGGTGCAGCCCCTCTGGAAAAGTGTGGAGTTTCCTCAAAAAATTCACAATAGAACTCCCCTATGACCCAGCAACCGCACTGCTAGGAATTTACCCAAGGGACACAGGAGTGCTGATGCATAGGGGCACATGGACCCCAATGTTCATAGCAGCTCTCAACAATAGCCAAATCATGGGAAGACCCTAAGTGTCCATCAACGGACGAATGGATCAAGAAGATGTGGTTCATCTATACAATGGAATACTACATGGCAATGAGAAAGAATGAAATCTGGCCACGTGTAGCAACATGGATGGAACTTGAGGGTGTTATGCTGAGCGAAATAAGTCAGGCAGAGAAGGACAGATACTCTATGCTTGCACGTATAGGTGGGTTAGGAGGAACTTAACATAGGACCATGGAGAAGGAGAAGGGGAAAAATAGTTGGGGAGAGGGAGGGAGGCAAATCGTGAGAGACTCTTGAATGCTGAGAACAAACTGAGGGCTGATGGGGGTGGGGGAGAGGGGTAGGGGGGTGATAGGCATGGAGGAGGGTACTTGCGGGGATGAGCACTGGGTGTTATATGGAAACCAACTTGACAATAAACTATTTAAGAAAAAAAAAGAGACAGAGATGTATATTCTTCATCTCCTTTCCGCTTATGGATTCTAAAAAAATCTTAGTACACGTACATATTGATATAAGCCAATGTGTTGCACTCAGGCCTACTAGGAACGTATCAGTACTGCATTTGCCTTGAGCACACCTGTATTATAGGGATAAATTTCTTTGGTCTATATGTTCCATAGTCCTATTGCACAATAAACTCCTTTAGAAAAATTTCTTAAGTATGTTGTCTGCCAATGATAGTCTATTGCTGGAGTATACAGAACAGTGCCCTGAACATCTTTGCTGTATATAAAATAGTCGTGGAAAGTTTTGTTTCATTATGTTTTTTCCAAATGAGCTAAGCAGTGTGTACTACTAGTGTCAGGCTTGAACCCTCCATATAGCCACACAGAAACAGGCAAGTATACTCTCCCTCTCTCAGCCGTACAAATAGTCTGATTAAGAGAGAGTAAGATCTCTGTTCAGAATGTTCTTGGTCACTGGACACCTCATAACCAAGGCCTTGTATTAACCACTATTGCTCCAGTTTCAAGGATTTCCCAAGTCAGAAAAACTTGTGATCAGTGTTAGTAAAATATTGGTAATCGTAAAGTGAAATGATGGGGTCTAGGGGCAGTGAATTATATTAATCTCTACTTTTGTGTAACTTCTAACAATTTTAAAATAAAAAGTAAAGAAACGTTATGACTTCTTTATTTTGCTATTGTGTTTTATGAGTTCCTTATAATTTGGAAATTAATCTTTCGTCAGATATGTGTTTTGCAGATGTCTTCTCCTATTCTGTAGGTTGCCTTTTCATTCTGTTGACTAAAGCTTTTTAGTTCAAAAAAAAAAAAAAAAAGGAAATTCCATACTAAACACGTAATGGTGCCAGGACGAAAAACTCCCTATCTTTAAAGAGGGACAGAACACTAAATATCTAGAGCCTGCTGTATGTCCTTCATACTTTGCTTCATCTCATGTTCTCAAAGTCCTGTATTAAAAATAAAAACCTAAAAAAAATTTTTAATAGAAGTAAAAACCTGTTGTTCTTATCATACGAAAACCTTTATTGGTAGGTAACAGATTTTGAGTTAAGATTCTAATATCCAAACTTACTTGAAGGAATAATTTAACTAAAAAGACAATAAGCAATTTTTTAAAGTTCATTCTTGGCAGAATTCAAAGAAAGCCCATTAACGGATGCCATTTTCCACCTATCGAAATGGCAAAGATGTTTAAAAAGAATAAAACTTGGCAAACTTCAGAGAAACTGATGAGTAAATGAAGGTATCCAACTGTTCTAGAAGGTTATGTGAAATGCATATTCAAAGCCTTCAATGTGTGCACACTATTCTGACCTAGATATCACGTCTCTGCAATTTTCCTAAGGAGATCATTTAAAGGTTAAATATTTTAGCTATTTAGGATATTTACTGGAACACTGCTTAGAATAGCAAGTTCTACAAAGAACCTCGTTGAATAAGCAATAAATGTTTAAATGTATAATGTATAATCTATACGAGAGCAGACAGTAGGTCTCTTAACTGAACTGCACTTAACACATTGACACAACTCCCAGGGTCCCCGCTGAGTCACAGGGAAATAGGCAAAATGCTGTACCGAAGGGCCCAGAGAAGCTCAGGATGGTGCAAGCGCAGTGTGGGAAACACCTTGCCAGAGAGGACTCTTTTCTTCTATACAGGCTTGTTTTTGTCTCTTCCAGACTCAACCAACCTCCCGTCCCATCAAGGAAGAAACTCTGACTCGGCCATTCTCAGAAGAATACCTCCCTTCGGGTTCCCAGGTGACAATGTGATACTGGACACGGAAAGCAGTACCATGTACTAGTCAAGTGTGCCCCGGCCCCACACTGCCTGCCTCCGAATGGCAGCACCACCACCTCCTATCTGTGAGACCATGAGCAGGTCACTTAACCTCTCTGCTGCAGTTTCCTGAGTAACCTAACCAGAGAGGGTCGGAGAACCTACCTCCAGTGGCGGTGGAAGAGCTTCACGAGCTCACACGCAGCAAGTGCTCAGGACAGTGCCTTAGCACATGGCAAGGGTCCAGGAAGCGTAAGCAGCCGTTATTGTGACTGTTCTGGTTGTGGACTCAGATACATCCTGGCCGGCCCCGAGCAGAGTGCCAAGAGCCATCTGGTGAATGAAAGGATGAACACACAGTCCTGTGTGTCCTCATCCAGATCATCTCCGAACACCTCCTCTCAGTATGGCTTTACGTCTAAAGCTTCCCACAAATCCTCCCAAATGCCTTACCTTTTGTTTGCTGCCCTCACCCCGACTTTTCATCTGCCACCTGCTAACAACAAAAGCTGGGAAGTGGAGGGAGGCACATCAGAGGAATCATGTAGGGTTGATGGGATTTACACACCCCACGGGAACTGTAGCAAAGGTCAGGCTTATGCAATGCCCTCCAAATACCTTGTCAGGAAACTGCACACATGGACAGCTTGTGATAAGTGTCAGAAATGAAATGTTTCCAAATGCATATAAAGGCATTCTGCCCTCATTTCTTTACCACACGGGAGGCAAAATGATAGGTTCCTAATTTAAATTGTCTTGAGAGTGTTTATTGTTTAGTAACTCCCTCTCCCTCTGCCCCATCAGCCACTCTCTTGTTCTGCTCTGCTGATCACCCTAAAGGTTGAATACATTCTTTTTCTCAACAGAGGATGAGAATAAAGACTGAAACCAACACTTGATCGGGCTTTCAGCGGGCACCATGCCACTGTGGAGTGCTGCTCTGGAACATGCATGGTTCTCCTAGGGCTCCACAACATAGTCTTTCCTCAAGGTCACTGGTACTCTCATGGAGTTGAAATGCCGCTGCCCATCTAAATACAACATGGACTCTGAAACACAAAAGAGAGAACCCTGGAGAAGCCCGCGGCACCTTACAAAACCATCGTACGAATGCTAGACTACTTGGGGACACGAGGGCAGCGAAGAGCGTGCAAGACCGGCCCTAGGCAGGCCCTATCAGGCCGGGGGTGTGCAAGGCTCCTGAGGGAGTGGGCCTCGACTCTTGCCCCTTTCTGTGGCCGGGCCAGTCTCTTACCACCAGTGGCCGCTTACAACCGGACCGACCCTGCAGACAGTAGCCAGGTCGCGCAGAGCAGCAACGGCCATCTGCAGACCATGAGGTACCCTGGCCGTCAGGGCTGCAGGCCCTCGAAAGCACTGTCTCCTAGAGATACACTCTGGAGCTAAGAGGCATCTGTATGCTTCCTACAACAATTTAAAAGAAGCAAAATTTCTTTATACTTTCTTCTGTTCATTAAGGACAGACAGACATTGCTGCTTACCTCCGTAGGTTCTGGGGAAAACCAAGGGCACTTCTTTTTCTGACATGAACGTGAAATGAAAGACATTGGTGGTCATGTGCTCTTTATTCTCAAGAGAGGCCACCTCACTGTGTACTCTGACTTGAATGTAATTGTCCTGAGTAAAGCAAACCTAAGAGATTTAGACATGATAGTTAGTCAAGTGCATTAGAAAGGAGAGAAAAGGCAGTCATAAGAGAAACAGTGGCTTTAGAATTTAAAAAAAAAACTTCTCTTGTAGGCCCGAATGATAAGAAAAATTGTATTTCATCTCTCACCACACACTTACCTGCGAAGAAAGAAACAGCAGTGATCCAACCTCAACAGGTTTCTGAAACATGATATCATCCACTGCCACTACGAACGGTCGGGAACCACTAACAGACAAAGGCAGAATTTGAGTCAACCACAAAATTCAGATGATGTCAATTTCTCCCCTAACAATTAGCTGAAGCAAAATGTAAATGATCAGAAAATAAACCCAGGGCAGGGGCAAATAATCACACCAGTGAGAAATGGTAAGGGATGCCACTGTGACACCACTCTATCTTTTCCTTTCTGCACTGTCATCACCTTTTCTCAGTAGGTCTTTAAAAAGGTACTAACTGACAAAATCAGAGCAACGGCCTTTGAAAATGAAGGCCAAGTGCAGGTGGTATCAGTGTGAAACTGATTTAAAAACAAAGCACACACCCCGACACATCCAGACTGACCTAAAATGGTTCATTTCAATGGGGTTCTGCAAACCTCCTCTCAGAAGTCAAAAGTACCTTCAGTCTAACTCACCCAAAGTTACAAGCAGTAGCCCATCCAAGTTCATATGCTTTCCTCATAAGGAAACCGCCAAAGATCCGATTGAAAATGTTCCGCTCCTATAGGACATAAAATAATTATTAACAGATAAAAGCTCATGACCACCCTCATATGCAGAACAAAGGAATTAACAATGCCACAGAACAGAGGTCACTTTAAAGGTGGGTCAAATGTTAGATGAGAATCACAAAAGCAAGTTATCCTACTTAGAAGATTTTTCATTAACTTACAATACCTGAGGGTGGCAAATTTCCAAGCTCTTCAGTTTTGAATCCTCCATCCACACCGCATTAGGGGGTAAAACTCGACTTTGAAAACTTATAGTCCTGTACAAAGGAGATTTAGTAAACCCTCTTAATGCCATGTTTTTACTGCTGAAAAGTAAATTATATGCAAACAACTCCCGAGATGTTGAGGCCCACATGGCTCTGGAGAAGGCCAAGGTTTCAATGCTCTCCCAAGCTGGAACCCCACCACCCTCACTCACTTTGGATCCAGCGTGCTAAGAAACATCTCATGTATGGTTGTCCTCTCCTCGGCACTGGGAGCCATTTTCAGTAATGACGTGGAGCTGAAGGCGACCCTTCTCCCCTTGTTCACTGGAACAAAGGACAGTAAGGCGCTACGATCATGAGGCTCCCACCGCAGTACTGTGGTTCCTGGGCTACTTCGGACCCTACAAAGGCAGGGTCTCTTGATTTCGAAAAGCCCACTGGAAATTGTACACATATCCCAAAGAAGGCTGTTGAGGCTACGTAAGGTGTCCAGCGACTCTCTGCTTGCACATGGACTATACCAGCTCAGCATGAGACCACTTAAAGACCACACTTAGACCATCCGGGGCACCTGGGTAGCTCGGCTGGTTAAGCGTCCAACTTTGGCTCAGGTCGTGATCTCACGATTCGTGAGTCTGAGTCCCATGTCGGGCTCTGCACCGTCAGTATGGGACCCACGTCAGATCCACTGTCTCCCTCTCCCTCCCTCTCTCTCAAAAATAAAACAAACATTTAAAAAAAGACCATCTTGACCTAGAGCCCTGACCAGGAGTTATTTGATTAAGATACATTTCCCATTTTATTAAAAATGAGAAAACAAATTACTGCATTTAACAAATATTGTCTAATCAAGAAAACTGTTCAAACTATGGAACCAAAAATAAGGTATTTTTAATTTCAATAACTTCTCAGCCTGAGTAAGACACTTGACTGGTATGAGCAGTCCACACATGCTCTTAAATAACCTCGTGTGCAGTACAGTTACTGTGCTTTACAGACTATATCATATTATAAACAAATTACTATACATTCTCCTTGTTTAAAGAGCTCTTCTTCCTCTGGGCTTTCAGGGATGAGTGGATTTACAAATGCCGGCCTAAAGAGAAGAAAAGAAAAGAATAGAGTTTAAGAGGTTTATAAATACAGTTTTCCCCAGTAAAATTGGAAGGTGAACAATTACCCAAGTCTTTGCTGTTTGTTTTAGGTAGTGCTTACTGACTGCTTCATATAATAACCCAGCAAGAACTGAAGAGCTCTCTAGTTACAGACTCATCTATACACGAGAAAGCTTCCATTATAAAAAGGATATTGCCTCTCGCCAAAAAGTTTCCCCTGATTATAATGAGGAAACAGTTAAAACTAGGCTGTAGAACATTCCACAGGACAACTGGCCTGGACTCTTCCAAAAATGTCAATGTCTTCAGAGACAGAAAATGGCAGGGGGACTCTTTTAAAAAAAAAAAAAAAAAAAAAACATGATAACTACATGCCATGCATGATCTTCAATCAGATCCTGACCCAGTGGGAAAGGGCTATAAAAGACATTTTAGGGACAAATGGCAAAGTTTGAATTTGGGTTGTATATTAGATGATATAATTTCTTGGATATAATAAAGGCATCAAGGTTGTATAGCAGAATAACCTTATCATTAGGAGATAGGGGCACCTGGGTGGCTTAGTCGGTTAAGCCTCCAACTTCGGCCCAGGTCATGATCTCACAGTTTGTGGGTTTGAGCCCCGTGTCGGGCTCTGTGCTGACAGCTCAGAGCCGGGAGCCTGCTTCTGATTCTGTGTCTCCTTCTCTCTCTGACCCTCCCCTGCTCATGCTGTCTCTCTCTCTCTCTCTCTCTCTCTCTCTCTCTCTCTCTCAGAAATAAATGAAAGATTAAAAAAACTTTTTTTAAAAAGGATATAGATGCTAACTATCCAGGGATGAAGTAGTCTCAAACTAACTATCAAATGATTCAGGGAAAGAGTGTGTCCTTGTGTGTATTTACAGAGAGAGGATGAGACAAAATGGCAATCGGTGGATTGTAGGTGAGGGCTCTCTGGGCGCTCACTGCATGATTCTACTTTTCTCAAGGGGGCAAATTTCTCAAAAGAGAAAATAGAGAGAAAACGGGGAGTGTTTCACCATGGTAGAATCCAAAGGTTTGAAGAAACAACAATGGAAACAACTGAGAGAGAAACCTTAAATACTGCCCCCCCAGGCCTGGAAAGGAGCCCCCACCCAGGGCTAGCCCCTAGGACCCGCGGGCCTGCCCAGCCAGGTGGGAGAAGTGAAGAGTTGGCAGCAGCATTCTATGCTCATATCTGTTTGACCCTAACGCACCCTTCCAAGGCAGTTTTCCAGGTGGCAGCAAAAATTTCTCAATGAGGACCCTTACCTCAAGTTTCTAATACAAATTAGATTCCCACAGGCCCCCAGACTCTGTCCTGTACCAAGAGCAGTCCTGTACTATTCCCTCCCAGCCAGCACCCACTCCCCACAGTTCGACAGCTTTCCTCCGCTCAAATACCTTTGGGGTGACTGCTGGTCGGAACCAGGAATTCAACTTAAGGGGAAAAAGTATAAAGCAAATTAAGTTAAAATCTGTAAAGTCCAATCTGACTTGGAATTGATAGTACATTAACTCATGAGGTCAGATATTTGTTGCTGTTTAACATACACCCTAGCTCTGTCCACCAAAAAGGCTTAGAAACAATGATAAATGACCAGAAAATACAGCTCTAATGCCCAGATCCTGGTCTCTAAATACCAGTTCTCGCTAAGAGGAATCCCAAGACTCCTCAGAGAAATAGCTGATTTCAGGCCTGAGGCAGAAAATGTGTAAAGTGAGCCCATGATATCCCACCGTACCAGAGAACAGGAAGACTAGCGGGGAAATGTGAAAAATGTTTACTCCAGGAGCCAGCATAAAGGGGCTCCCAACGCCCAACATGATACGCTCTGAGCATCAAGGATGATGGCTACAATTTACTGAAATACATTTACCATTAAAACCCATGAATTCATTGGGGCGCCTGGGTGGCTCAGTCGGTGAAGCATCCGACTTTGGCTCAGGTCATGATCTCATGGTTCTTGAGTCTGAGCCCCGCATCAGGCTCTGCGCTGGCAGTTTGGAGCCTGAAGCCTGCTTCAGATTCTGTGTCTCCCTCTCTCTCTGCCTCTCCCCTGCTCACTCCATATCTGTCTGTCTGTCTGTCTCTCTCTCTCAAAAAAAAAAATATATAAATATTTTTTAAAATAAAATAAAGAAAATAATATACTTTTTAAAAAGAGATGAAACAAATATAGCAAAAATGTTAAAACTTATTAAGTCTAGGTGATGAGTATATGGAAATTCATTAGTCTTTTCTCCAGTTTTATAGATCTTTGAAGTTTTCCAAAATAAAAAATTAGAATAAAAACAGCAATTACCCTTTATTTTCAGAATCACGAGCCACCATTACAAATGTTGCATCCAAAACAGGACAGAATTCATCACCATGTAACTAAAGAACAGTGGAAACAAAATATAGAGATAACAAATGCATTTAGTGAGAGGACCTACGACAATCTAACAGATGTCACAGGTGCTTTGGAAAAGGCTGCAATTAGAAAAAAGGGAAGTGCATCATTAACCATCATCTGCTGAGCTGTCAGACACAGAGCTCAGCTCTGGGTGGGAAAGGAGCATGACCAAAGAGACTGTGGTCTAGAGGAGGAGAAAGACACCCCAAAACTCAAAGAGTACACCATCTGAGAAGGGCTGGGATGGACATGACCTCCAGGCTTTGGAGGTGCACGTGACTGAGACTCAAGGGCCAGCGTCACAAAGAAACCCTCTGCATCGCCATCATTTAACTCTGCAGCATCATGCAGAGTTCTGGCTTTCGTCGGGCCTACCTGTCCTCACAGTGGCACACACAGCCAGGTGAACTGCCCACCGCTGTCACAGACATTAGTATTTTCAGGGAACCTCAGTGTGCCAGCTACCAGCACACGTGTGTGCTTCCTTGGCTGAGCGCAGGGACTCCCAAGAAGGGTTAAGGATCAGTGATCATTCCACAGAACGAGTGAAATACTTACAAATGTACAAGCCTTTGAGGTTTGAAGGTATTTCTTGATCCTCTAGGAATCTGTACTCCCAGGCAAGTTATGCCATAAAGTCCTATCATAAGCTGAGGGCATACTAGGCTCACTCTTGGACAAACCTCCTCACTAGTCCTCCTTGCTGCTGCCTGCTCAGGCCCATATCGCCTTCCCCCTCAACCATCTTCCCGCATCTGCTCTACGCCTGCTGGCACTATATATAAAGCTCTGCACAAGAGAGCCCAGATTCCTCTCTGCTTGTTCACCAAACATCCCCCTCACACCTGCACCTTTTCCCTAAGCACACCTGACAACTTGGAGGTCTAGAATGTATCGCGCTGATGAACTCCTCCCATCCATGCCTGAGCCTGGGGCCTTCCTCACAGCCACTTTCCTCAAGACACTTCTCACCACCCCTGCCTCCAGGGAGGCTCCAGGCAGAGGTCATCATTCCCTCGTTGGTTTGCCACCAGGATGGAAATGAAGTCCTCCCCTGAAAGTGGTTCTCAATTTATTTTTTTTTTATATTTTTTATTTATTTCTAGGAGAGAGAGAGACAGCGTGAGCAGGGGAGGGTCAGAGAGAGAGGGAGTCACAGACTGAAACAGGCTCCAGGCTCTGAGCCGGCAGTCAGCACAGAGCCCGACGCGGGGCTCGAACCCACGAACCGCGAGATCATGACCTAAGCGAAAGTCAGACGCTTAACCGACTAAGCCACCCAGGCGCCCCATCTCAATTTAACAGAGATGGATACTACTCCCATAGAGAACACCTGGAAATGTGAAGAAGTGGTTTGGGTTGTCACATGGCTTGAGGGACATCACCAGCCGGGCAGGGGTAACCAAGGAGGTAAACACCTCACAGTGCAGGGGACTGTCCTGCATAACTAAGAATTTTTCCTACATCCAATGCCAGTAGTGTCTCTGTTGAGAAATGCTGCCTAATACTTAATATACTGCAGATCCTCCTCGACTTACAGCGACGTCACATCCCAACAAACCCATCATAAATTGAAAACATCCTAAGTCAAAAATGTATTTAATACACATAATCTATAGAACATCACAGCTTAGCCTAGCCTACCTCAAACATGCCCAGAACATGTATATTAGCCTGCAGTTGGGCAAAATCATCTAACACAAAGCCTAGTTTATAACAACATGTTGAACATCTCAGGTAACTCACTGAATACTGTTTGGAGTATAATACAGAATGGCCGTATGGGGACAGGAGGGGTGCAAGTGCGTCTTTTACCCTCCTGATCACGTGGCTGACAGGAACCGCAGCTCACTGCGGCTGCCTAGCACCACATACCGCCAGCCCAGGAAAAGATCAAAATTCAAACTTCAATGTACACTTTCTACTGAACATTCTTTCACGCCATCATAAAGCCAAAAATTCGGAAGTCAAACCATTCTAGGTCAGGGACCGTCTGTATATCATAATCATTTATTTAACCGCGGCCTATTGCAGCACGCTCTCCTTGAGGACAAAGATGGTTTTTACTCACATTTGTATGCCTAGCACTTAGCACTAGGACTGGCAGATAGCAGATAATCAATGAGTGATGATGTATGAGTTGAGGCAGAAAATTATCGAGCACTACTGGAATGTAAACTGTAAGAGAATAAATCGTTGTTTAGCTCACTGCTATCCGCCGAGCACTGAACAGGCATTCGATAAACAACTGCTAAGTGAATGTTAGATGAATGGACACGAGGAAGTGGGCTAGGTGACTCACATCCAGACGCTGTTTAAGTTAAGGAGCATACAGTGTAGCAGAAGAGAAAAGATGTGTTCCTATGCAGCTCTGCGGAGGAGAATAGCAGGTGCCAGGAGACAGAGTCAGAAGGAGTCCTGGGAAGGAACAGGGGCTATGAAATGGAAGGACCAGGGAAGGATCAAGCATGAGATGCCCCGGAAGCACAGGTGGAATACGTACGTGGAGCCAGAGCATGAGGATTTCAGGCAAAGGAAAAAGAGTAAGCAATAATATTCATCCAACTCACTCATTGTTTAAATTATGGTTTATTATAATGAACACCTACTAGTGCCAAGCATTAGGAAGGCAAAAATGAGGGGCACCTGGGTGGCTCAGTCCGTTAAGTATCCAACTTCAGTGCAGGTCAAGATCTCACGGTTTGTGCTTTCGGGCCCCACGAAGGGCAGGCTCTGTGCTGAGAGCTCAGAGCCTGGAGCCTGCTTCACATTCTGGGTCTCCCTCTCTCTCTGCCTTCCCCCCCTCTCAAAAATAAACAAACATTAAAAAAGAATACAAAAATGAATAACCCCCTACTCCTTGAATGCTCAAAATGTCCAGCAGGCAGCTCTAGGAAGGTATAGGAATGATAAGTCAGAAGGAATACAGTTGAAAAGATAGGTGGGAGCTAGTTTATAGAGCACCTTGGATCCTAACTAGTCAAAAGAGTTTAGACTTTAATCCACAGATAAGGGTCACTGAAGGGTTTTGAGAAGGAAAGCAATGTGATTCAAGACTGCCTTTGGAAGATCTAACTCATAAAAATCTGTACAATTAACAGAGAGAACACAGACTAGAGGCAGGCAGACTATTAAAAGACAGTTAAGGTACTCACAAAGGAGGCAGTGAGGCCTTGAATGAAACACAGGGGCCAAGAGGAAGGAGAAGAAAGTACTCTGGTGGGTTGCTATGGGTGATGAATCTTTAAGACTTGGCAAAAGGCTGTCTAGGAAAGGGCAAAATTAAAACTAGCACAAAGGTCTGGACCCAGGGCGGCCAAGGGGAAAATGGAGGAGGATCAGGATTGGGAAAGAAGATGACGTACTCAGTTTGTCACATACCGGATTTAAGGTAGCAAGAGCACATGTAGGAGAAGAGATAAAACGGGAGCGCAGAAAGACGGGTCTGAAGGTCAAGCCCAGAAAAGGCCTGGGACCATCTCCATGCTAATGATAATAAATTAACATTACTGCCAACATCTGATTAGTGGTATGTGCCTGTGTGACAGGCAATGTGCCAAATAATTCCTATGGGTAGGCTGTTTTTCATTTCATCCTTACCACACAGTAAAACATGGTACTATTACTGTTTCCATGTTACACGTGAAAAAATGCAAGCTCAGAGAAGGTAAGAAATTTATCCACATTCACATGACTACTAAGCAGCAGAGTTAGGATTTGAACCTACGTGTAGCTAAAGCAAAAGCAAAGCACCTACCACTAAGTATCCTGTCTGGAATAGAAAGGATCACTCAAGCCTTGAGTTATTAGCCAAAATGGCCAAAGAGAAATACAAACTTAAAACAGAAGTTTGTACTTATCTGACATTGATTCTCATTAGCTCTCTCCTCACAGTAACTCCTGTATCTCTTTTCAACCTATTTGGCCCAGATTCAAATTACCTTGATTCCTATGGCAGGAATCTGAGAAGGCCAGGAATCAACCATGAAGATTTAAAAAAAACTGGGGCACCTGGGTGGCTCAGTCAGTTAAGCATCGACTTTGGCTCAGGTCATGATCTCATGATTCGGGGGTTCGAGTCCTGCATCGGGCTCTGTGCCCACAGCCAGCTCAGAGCCTGGAGCCTGTTTCAGATTCTCTATCTCCCCCTCTCTCTGACCCTCCCCTGCTCATGCTACCTCTCTCTGTCTCTCTCTCTCTCTCTCTCTCAGAAATAAATAAAGCATTTTTAAAAATTAAAAAAAAAAAAAACCTGCGGACGGCGGGGGGAGGGCGCGGAGGGGGCACCTGGGAGGCTCAGTCAGTTAAATGTCAGACTCTTGACTTGGGTTCGGGTCATGATCCCAGGGTGGTTGCATCAAGTCCCAACTTGTGCTCCTGGCAGGGCATGGAGCCTGCGTGAGATATTTATTCTCATTCTCTCTCTCCCTCCCTCCATCTCTCCTCCTCCTCCTCCTCCTCCTCCTCCTCTCTGCCCCTTCCCCACCTCTCAAAACAAATAAACTTTTTTTTTTAAAAAAAAGCATATGAACTAATCATAGCAGCAACCGCATCAAGCTTACTGTGTTTTGTTCTAACAACAGCGTTACTGTCAGTTATGACAATATGGAAGTTACAGAATCCAACTGCTTACAGAGAGCACCAAATAAAAAACCACTTAACTATCTTGACAAGGGTGATGGGCATGGAGGAGGGTACTTGTTGGGATGAGCACTGGGTGTTATACGTAAATCAACTTGAAAATAAACTATAAAAGAAAAAAAAGCATTAGAAAAAAAACTTTAGTTACTGCAGAACAAGCTTCAGGCCTTTTCCAAAAGGTGAAGTGCTTCATTATTCCAGAAGAGAAAAAATGTAACTGAATAATGGGCATTACTGAATACTAAGAATTCTGAGTACACTCATATTCAGCATACTGAACACTCTGGCATAACTGAAGAAGTCATTCCTTTTTTCCTTATTTTTTTATTTGAGCAGAGTTGACAATGTCACATTAGTTTCAGGTGTACAACACAGTGATTCGACAAGTTTATACGTTATGCTGTGTTCACCAGAATGAGTCATTTTTTTTTTTTGAGAGAGAGAGACAGAGAGAGCAAGCAGGGAAGCGGCAGAGAGAGAGAGAGAGAGAGAGAGAGGGAGAGAATTCCACACAGGCTCTGCACTGTCAGTGCAGAGCCCAAGGCAGGGCTCAAACTCAAGAACCACAAGATCATGACCTGAGCTAAAGCTGGAAGCTTAATCGAGCTACCCAGGCACCCCGCAGAAGGAGTCATTCTTAAATAAATTTTCACAATGAAACGTGAGACATACTCTGAATTATCTGACTTCTGTGCTATTATCCTCTTTGAGGTGCTTTTTCTTGTCAAATTTCTTTGTTTCTTTATAATAGCTACTTGGAGATCTGAGTGCTCATGGGGGGGAGGGGGGCTGTTCCTAACTGCTACACTTAGTCTAAATGACTGTTATGGGCTGACCTGTGTCCTCCAAAAATATATGAAGTCCTACCCTTTGGGACCTCTGAACATACCTTTACTTACAAATAGGGCCGTTGCAGATATAATCAGTTAAGATGAGGTCATACTGGGGTAGGGTGGGCCCTGAATACAGTATTATTGATGTCTTTATTAAAAAAAAAAAAAAAAAGAAGAAGAAGAAGAAGAGGGGCGCCTGGCTGGCTCAGTCGGAAGAGCATGCAACTCTCGGTCTTGAAGTCCTAAGTTTGAGCCCCACGCTGGGCAGAGTTTACTTAATGAAAAAAAAGAAAAGAAAAGGAGAGACCCAAAGACACAGACACACAAGGGCAAAAGAGCAATGGAGGCAGAGATGGAAGTGTTCGAGCTGCAAGCCAAGGAATGCCGAGGACTGTCAGCAAACCACGAGAAGATGGGAAGAAGCGAAGAAGGATTCTCCCCCTACACATTGTACAGGGAACATAGTCGTGCTGAAGCCTTGACTTTGCACTTCTGGCTGCCAAACTGTGAGATAATTAATTTGTTATTTTTAGCCACCCAGTCTGTGGTACTTGTTCCAGCAGCCCAAGGAAACTACCAGAGTGACCAGAACCATTCCTGCCTGACGTAACTCACACTTTTGTGAAATTCTCTGGGGCAAAACCAGACTCGAGCACCTGGACATGTAGCCATATATGATTTGAAAGTAATAAACAATGAACAATGAAACACCAAAGTATCAGTCTTTGTCCAGGAGGAGGACATTAATAACCTACCATCTACATGACATGAACGTTCAATTGCTTTTCTAGAAGTGGTGAGCTATATACCTGTCATAGGTATAGCATAGGTAAAAAGCATAGGTAAATATGCTTTTCTTTCACGGGGACTAGCTGGTCGTACTGGAGCCGGCAACCTTTAGAAGAAGACACACCTGAAACATCTGCATCTTCACTTCCATGGATGTCTTCCCAACCCAGCTAACATGGCCAGTGAACTTGATGTCCTGTTCTGGGCTTAAGCTCATCTTACACATATCTGCAAAACAGAAAGTTAATCTGAGTTCAAACCATACTCCAAATTTTCTGTATTACAAAGGGAAAGTTTCATTTTAAACTCTGGCAAATTCCACCATATTTTCTTTCTTCTTTTTTTAGTCTTCAAAACTAAAAACAATGTTTTTGACATACAAAAAAGATCTGTATGTCTTTTTGAAAAATGTAGACAATGCAAAGAATACACAAAATAAAGCTGGAGGGGCGCCTAGATGGCTCACTGGGTTAAGCGTCTGACTTTGGCTCAGATCATGGTCTTGCGGTTGGTGGGTTTGGGCCCCACACTGGGCTCTCTGCTGACAGTAGACAGCCTGCTTTGGATCCTCTGTCTCCCTCTCTCTCTGCCCTTTCCCCACTTGCACTCTCTCTCTCAAAAATAAATAAAAATTTTTAAAAATTAACAAAATTAGAACCATGCAAAACCCTTCCACTCAAATATAATTTTACTTTTTTTAATTTTTTTACTGCTCATTTATTTTTGAGAGACAGAGAGAGACAGAGCACAAGCAGGGGAGGGGCAAAGAGAGAGAGACACAGAATCCAAAGCAGGCTCCAGGCTGTGAGCTGTCAGCACAGAGCCCAACACAGAGATCGAACTCATGAACCATGAGATCATGACTTGAGCTGAAGTCAGATGCTCAACCAACTGAGCCACCCACGAGCCCCAAAGATAATTTTAATAAATATGTATTTTGGTATAGACCATTTGAGACATTTTCATATGCACATATACATAAAAATTCTCCCATAAAAGGAAAATATATCCTCTAATTTCAATAATCTCTTGTGATTACTAAGAATTCTAAGAATCCATAGAAAATAATATTGCTTACCAATCTTGTCCACCAGGGCTGTAACTATAGACAAAGGAGACATCTTAGCTGAATGAATCTTGGTGTGCATGTAGCAAATAAGAACTGTAAGAAAAAAGAAGAGATCCAAATAAAGGAAAAGTGAGATTATTTACTCAAATAATGTAATGTTGAAATTATTCAACATTTACAACTGAATCCCTGAAATCCATAAAAAGTCTTATCTGCTCTTGAAGATCCAATGCACCATATCCCACTAGAGGCCTTATCCCAGGTCCAAAGACTTCTACACATTGAAGACATGTGGGTATCCTCTAATCTGACTGCCCACTCACTTTGGATTTGGTAAAGAAGCCAAAGCCCAAAGCCCAAGCCCACCAGGTGGCCCGTCACCCAGACACAGTGCCTCAATTAGAAAAAGAACTCAGCACATGAGTCCGACAGCATCAAACATCTTCAGAAAAGAGAAACAAATCACAGTGACTCAGCTATCTATTTTCCCTCTGACTTTCCTAATCATGAAGCAACTGTTACACTTAAGAGTTATTCCTCCTTTCCTCATAACACCCTTGACTCCTGCACCACCTGTGGTTATCTGTATACTTGCCATGTTTTAATAAGCTAAGCGTGCTTCTGTGCACCTTACAAATGTCAACTCATTTAAAGACGTCCTAGACTCCTGCGTTTAGTGGCCTCCCTGCTTCCCCCATGAGTCATTCAAATTTGTATCTTCAGGCCTCAGGACCTGGGTCTGCATCCAATAAATATCTGTTAAGTGACCATAAATCCTTCCGTCCACGCACCTGCTAACAGATGCACTGGGGGAATGAGAGGCTAAAGGCAAGAAAGTTAATTTAAAAGCCTATGTGGTACCCATAGAATAAATCATATGTGGCTGACCTATGGCAGTATCAATGGAAACGAAGAGAATATTTTAATAATCTCTTCAATATTTTAATAATCTCAGGTTTCTAGCTTGCCTGACTGAAGACAGTACACCATTCACTGAAAAAGAGAATACAGGAAGAGCAGAATGGACTATTTTCAACATGTTAAATATGAGAAGCCTATGGCGTATCCACATGGAGATGTCCAGTAGGCAAGAGGGCAAGCTGATCTGGAACTCAGAAGAGCAGGGCAGGAAATGAAGATTCCTAACTATTCCACATACTGATGACAAGTGAAGCTCTGGGAGATTATTTACAGTGAGTGTACAGATAAGCAAAAAAGGGGAGAGGACAAAACCCTGGGGATAACTAACATTCAAAAGATCACTAGGAAAGAGGAAGCTACATAGGAGCCTGGGAAGAAACAGCCAGAGAGGCAGAAGGAAACATCACCAAAGCTCAAGGATGAGTTCAACATATTAGGAGCCACAAAGGGGTCAGATAAACCTTGAAAAACACCCATTAGATCATGAAATAAGGGGGCGAATGGAGAGCTCAACAAGAGCAGTTGAAGGGCACTGAGGAGCAGAAGCCAGAACATGTGAGAATGAGAAATAAACAGGAAGTCAACATGCAGAGGCGATAAGAGACTTTTTCCAACTCTTTCCATGAAGTTAGCTCTAAAGTAAGGGAGAAAGACAGTTTCACAGTGTTGTAAGGGAAGGGGATTTTACCTACTTTCCATTATAAGATGGAAGAGCCTTGAACATGTTTAGAAGTTGAGGGAAAGGTGAAGCTGACAAATGGCTTGCGATATGAGAGAGAATGGATAGGAGATAAGGCAAGTTCCTTAAAGAACTTGAAGGAACAGAATCAACTGAAGAGGTGAAAGGAATGGCCATCAACAGGAGGCAATGAGGAAAAAATAGGGAAAAAACAGCGGAGTTTGTGTATTTAGGAACACCTAAGTAAACCAAAGTCAAGAGTGTGTGTGTGTGTAGTTTTTTTTTTAATGCCAATAATAATGTTTAACTGAGTTTATTTAATCTGAAGAAACATGCGGCTAGGTATAAGCCTAACAATGGACTTATTTCTAAATTGTAGAAGTCATTAGACCCTTTCTTTAAACCCTTTCCCAACAGTTCCGTCCAAAAGTAACTAGTAAGGGTAAGCAGGGTAGCCCAGGGTAGGGTGCTAATGCCCAAATGGGGCCAGAAGACACAAAGGGAGGAGGCAACAAGAGCGAAGGCCAGGTATGTTAGAGCTGGAGCACAATGCAGAGGGTGACGCAGCAGAACGGGACCCGGTACGAATCCCGGTGAGGTGAGGGGGGCAGCCGTGAGAGGCTAGGGGTGGCAGAGATAGGAAAGGAGTTACAGACAGGGGAAACTTACCAAATAAGTAAATAAACAGATTTAGGATAATGGAGCTAGCTGGAAAAGGGAATTACAAATATGAAAAGGAGGAAATGAATGAAACTGTGGTGCTGAACCATAACTAGAACTGCCAGTGTGAACCCATGGTTTTCATAGATAAATAAACAGACAGACATAGATATAAAAGTATGTGCATGTGCATACATTCTCCAGCTGGTCTACTGAAAGGGCATGGGAGCAGTGACATCCCAGCAGCAGTGACCACTCCCAGTACCCACAGCCTGGTTTCTAATTATCACTCCCCATCAAAAAGAACCAGAGCTCCTTGGAGATTTGGCAGATTCCGGGATGGAGGCAGGAAAAAGTACAAATGACACTAGGAGGTCTTATTGTGCCAGAAAGTAAAGAAGTGCTCAAAGAATGATGGGGACACATCAGATAAACAGAGAAGTCAGCTGGAAGGGACTAGGACAGTCCCGGCACAATTTTAGCACCACAAGAGACGACAGCGACATATTACAATCCATTCAATAAAATAGGAAACCTTGAGTCCATACTGATTTTAATTTTTTTTAATGTTTTATTTATTTCTGAGAGAGAGAGAGAGAGAGAGAGAGAGAGAGAGCGCATGAGCAGGAGAGGGGCAGAGAGAGAGGGAGACACAGAATCTGAAACAGGCTCCAGGCTCTGAGCTGTCAGCACAGAGCCCGACGCAGGGCTCGAACCCACAAGCCATGAGATCATGACCTGAGCCGAAGTCAGACGCTTAACCGATTAAGCCACCCAGGCGCCCCTCCACACTGATTTTAAAATAATAAATTGAAAGTCTGAAGAGGGATGGAATGTTTATAAAATCTGAGATTAGCTGCCTAGAAGGCACTTATTAATTACAGACGGGCAAAGAGTAACTTTAGAGTGAAGAACTGTGACACACACTGCCTTCATCGGAGAATCAAAGTTAACATTCCAGTAATGGGACAAATGAGAATTATGCACCAGTTGATGAGATGCAATAAGAACACATCATCCCTTCTGTGATGTTCCTGCCAAAGGTGCATGTCTCAAATCTCATCTTGGGGAAGCACAAAATAAACCCAAATCGAAAGAAATTCTACAAAAGAACTGGCCTATAACCTTCAAAAGTATCAAGGTCACGAAAGTCAGAGAAATACTGAGGAGCTATTCCTGACACAACAATTAAATGCAACATGTGATTCAGAACTGGATCCCTTCTGCTACAAAGGACCACTGGTGACGGCTGAGTGGGGTCCAAGGATCAAGCAGTCTACTGTATCAGGGCTAACTTCCCCATGTTGACGGTTGTATTATGGTTACGTAGGACAATGTCCGGGTTTGTAGGAAATACTGTTCTCTCACATGATTCAGAGAAAAACAATTCTTTGTACTGTACCAGCAACTTTTCCCAAAACTTAAGACTTTTTTGAAAAGTTGTTAGAAAGAAGGATTAATCAGATTATAACTGTTCAGCAGGAATCTACAATTTCAGGAAAAAAATTATGACAATGCAGAGGTAATAACTGCCCTTCTTTTACTATTCTTTTAGAACTTCCCACCTGGACAAGTTAAAGAATTAAAAAGGCCCTTTCCAGCCAAAGAATTCAATGTATAGCTACAACTATTTAGAAATACTAAAAGAATACCAGTACCTCCTAGGCTGTCAAGATCCTCAAGAATCCTGCCAAATCTGTGAAACAAAGAAACTGGTTAAATGAAAATCATGATGATCACCCCTTTAAAAATGAGTAACAGTCTGGGTGGATGAAAGGTTCTAAAACTGATTGTGGTAATGGCCGCACAACTCTAAAAATATACTAAAATCATCACACAATTGCACACTTTACCTAGGTGGATAGTATGGTGTGTGAATTCCATCTCAAAGTTGTAGTAATGAAAGGAATCAAAATAAAAACAAATAAATGACATAAATAAAAAGAGTGCCGTGTTACCTGATGGTGTTTTGAACAGTCAAGTATTTCTCTCGTAATTCAGGCTGACTACCCAAAGGCAAGAGAACCTCAATATAACTGTCTTTCATTCTCCTGGGTGGCAGTCCTTTCTGTGAGTCAGCCAAGAAACTCTGAAGTAATTTTCTTTCCTCCATTGCTTTCACATGGTCTCTGAGAAGAAAGGAAGCAAACTTCATGAAATACAGGGGCAGTGCGACCCCACATGCCAGTGACGTTCGGCTGGTCAGACCCTATCAAAGGAGGAAAAGGAAGGTCTGGACCTGCTCACCTTCTCTTCCTTCCTTCCCTCCCTCCCCACCTAGAACTCAGTGAAATTAAAAACTTTGTTAAAACGTCTTGGGCTTATAGCTAAAAAAAAAAAAAAAAAAAAATACATACTGGTAAGTGATATAAATATACCCAAACAAACCACACCTTCACCCTCATTAAAAAGTGTATTCAAAAAATAGAATCTTTCAAATCAAATTAAAAATAGTGCTGGGCTCAAATACACATATGGGCTAAAGAACAAAGTGGCCACTGAACCGCATATTCCCATTTCTCACCTTGACAATTCTCAAATTCTCTGTGCCCCCAGCTCTCTCGCTCGCTCGCTCTCTCTCTTTCTCTCTCTCTCTCTCTCTGTCTCTCTGCCTTCAATTTCAGGAAAGAGAGACAGAGGAAGAAAAATGGAGTATATCTAAAAGAAGTAAGAAAGGCAGAGCAAAAGGTAAAGAGGAAAAGAACATGCAAAGGAGATGGAAAGGGAAGACAAAGAAATGATTAAAGCGGAAAAGAAGAGAGAGAGAAAGAGAAGGGGATAGGAAACTCAAATGCTGACAATATCATCAATTAAGATACCTTTCTAAGCTTCACTTAGGAAGTAGCACGGCCAGAAAGATTGAGCCTACCAAAAATGTAGGAGATAAAGAAACAAGTTAAATGGCACCAGGGAAATCCTGAGCATGGAACATTCTACACAACATGATCTCACAGCTTGAGGGTTTGAGGCCTGCAATGTGGTCTCTGTGTGGACAGCTCAGAGCCTAGAGCCTGCTTCAGATTTTATGTATCTTACTCTCTCTGCCCCTCCCCTGCTCACACTCCATCTCTCTCTCTCTCTCTCTCTCAAAAATAAACATTAAAAAAAACTTTAAAGTCAAGCTCATAGACAAAAAACAAAAGGGAGAATAACTGTCTACTATTCCAGACTAGGAGCGACCGAAGAGTCGTTACCCCCAACGCAATATACTATCCTTTATTGGATCTTGATATTTTTTAAAGCTATAAAAGACGTTTTTGGGAACAGTTGAGAAATTCTATATGGATAAGTAATACACTATTAGGGAATGACTGTAAATTTCATCAAGTAAGAGAATATCTTGTTTGTTGGAGATACACAATTGCTGACTTTGTTACACAAGAGAATATAGTTATTTGTTGGAGATGTATGCTGGAGTGTCATTATACCCTTAATTCGCTTATATGAATAAGTGAATTATAATTCAGCCAATATATGCATATTGGCAAATCTGGAAAATTTTAAGTAATCAAGAAAAGTAGGGACAGAGGTATTCATTTTTTCTGCTTTTCAATACATTGAAGTTTTTCATACAAATAGCTAAAAAACAAGTCATTAGATAATCTCTACACCAACAACAGATTATTGTATGTCTAGTGACTGCTTTTCTTTTTATTTCCTTTTAGTCTCAAAATTCTGTGCACCAAGAGGGATATTATACTATTTCTCAGGGAAATACTGAGCGATCAGGTTAATTGTGAACTGACAAGAAGCAATAAAGGAGTCACGTTGCATAAAAAAGAAAAACCAAGAAACTTGGTTTCTCAAACCCTGATGCTGCATTCATTCATTTTCTCTCTGAATTTCAGTTTCATTGGACATAAAAAAGGGATAGGAAGATAAGCTGTAAGCATGCCACAAGTTCTGTAGAGAATCACTGAGGTAATATACCTGAATGCACTTTGAAAAATGTAGAGTACAGGTAAATCACTTTATTTTATGAAAAGAATGCATCAAATGATGAGTATGTTGGAATGCCAATCTTCCCCGCAAGTGGAAAAAACCTCTCAACCCATCGCCGAACCCAGGGCCCCCTCCATCCCTACCATGAGACCATCAGCTGAGCCTAAATCGAGCCTAGCAGACCACTTTAGGGGTCAGGATGAAAGAGCACAAGCGTGCTTACCTCCAGTTTGTGGAGACTCCTACTATCTCCCGCAACTTATCACGAACTGAAACCAAAATAAAGAGGTCATTCCAGGAAACAAAGAAACAGTAGAACTGGATTATGGACATGAGTTCAAGAACTATGAAAAGCCATCCATGCAATTCAAAAGCTTTAAAGATCCATTAATTTCCATTTAATGCCACAACAGCTCAGGGAAGGGAGCAAGCCTGTGCTTCCTAAAAATTTGGAACAACTAGTCTCTCCTTAGTGCAAAAAGAATAGCCTGTGCCAATCACTGGGATTTACATACACAAACAAAACACAAAACGGGGTAACTACAATTATTCATGGGGTGGGACAGTATCAGTGTCCCTTTGTGATGGAGATATTATGGCCAAAATCCTCACCTAGCTTCTTATAGGCAGTAGTGGAGCAGATTGATTAGTGCAGGGAGTAACACCAATCCTCAAATCAGAGTCTCATTCTAATTGATCTTTAATATATTTACGCATCCTAATTGTTAAAGTTTCAGCCACAAAAATGAAGCAAAGATATAAATCAAGGAAAAGCAAAGAACATAATTTAATGTTAGTTAATGTCCAAAAAGTGCAAGAATGAATTAATGCAAAGAAACTTAAGCACTTAAAGAAAAAGTCGATACTAATTACCACACACACCGTGATTCACATGTATAGGTGAACATGCTATATGGATAAAAAGAAAATAAATTAGATAAGCAGTAGAAAATCAAGACTAAAAAATAAATGTATAGGATTTCACATGCTGACTTCATGTGTTTTTTTGCCTAGCATTTACATAGGACTTAAAAATATAAATTCCAGTTATGGGAAATGAACTGTAGCAATACTTGATCCTTCAAAGGCTAACTGATCAAAACCAAATAAGGTTAGATAACATGCACTTAAACGTTAGTGAAAAAATAGTTGATTTTTCTATCAAACAATTGTTATACACCATAAATTTGGTACAAACTCTAACTACAACTAAGTCAGAGAGAACTGCAGAATATGTGGGCATACCTCATTTTATTGTACTTCACTGTGCTTCAGGAATAGTATGTTTTGTACAACATGGAGGGTTGTGGCCACCCTGCGTCACTGCCATTTTTCCAACAGCATTTGCTCACTGCCTGTCTCTGTGCCACATGTTGGTAATTCTTGCAGTATTTCAAACTTTTTCATTTGTATTATATTTGTTATGGTGATCTGTGATCAGTGAGCTTTGGTGGTACTATTTTAACTGTTTTCGTATGGACACTGTGCTTTTAGACACAGTCCTGTTGCACACTTAATAGACTACAGTGTTGTGTAAGCCTAACTTTTAAATGCACAGGGAAACAAAAAAATTGATTTCACTCACTTTATCGTGATATTCACTTTATTGCAGGGGTCTGGAACCACACCTGCAATATCTCTAAGGTATGCCTGTAACCACAAGTAAATGTGTCTTATTTCTGACTTTTTTCCCTCCAGAGTTCCTTGAATAAAAGAATGGACAGGAAGTATGCCAAACAGTACACAGACTACTGATGCTCTCTGACATACAGTGATCATTACTAGTTTAGTCAGCATATGAAGAAAGGGGGTACTGAGGGCCAAGAAGTAGAAATTTTAATTAAATATATGGGGCACCTGGGTGGCTCAGTCGGTTGGGCATCCGACTTTGGCTCAGGTCATGATTTCATGGTTTGTGAATTGGAACCCCACATCAGGCTCGGTGCTGACAGCTCAGGGCCTGGAGCCTGCTTCAAATTCTGTGTCTCCCTCTCTCTCAGCCCCTCCCTGACACACGTTCTGTCTCCCTCTCCCTCTCAAAAATAAATAGATATAAAAAATTTGGGAGGTGCCTGGGTGGCTCAGTCGGTTAAGCATCCGACTTCAGCTCAGGTCATGATCTCACCGTTTGTGGGTTCAAGCCCCGCATCGGGCTCTGTGCTGACGGCTCGCTCAGAGTCTAGAGCCTGTTTCAGATTCTGTGCCTCCCTCTCCCGCTGACCCTCCTCCACTCACGCTGTCTGTCTGTCTGTCTCTCTCTCTCTCTCTCTCAGAAATAAAACATTAAAAAAAATTTTTTTTAATTAAAAAAATATTGAGGGGCGCCTGGGTGGCTTAGTCGGTTAAGCGTCCGACTTTCGCTTAGGTCATGATCTCACGGTTCGTGGGTTCGAGCCCCGCGTCGGGCTCTGTGCTGACTGCCAGCTCAGAGTCTGGAGCCTGTTTCAGTCTGTGACTCCCTCTCTCTCTGACCCTCCCCTGCTCACACTGTCTCTCTCTCTCTCTCTCTCCTAGAAATAAATAAAACATTAAAAAAATTTTAAAAAAATATTATGAAATTTTTATGTATATATGTGTATGTATATGCATGTATATGTATATATATATAATTTGTACCTTTGAAAGCAGCCACAATTTTGTTCATAATGAGTACTCCTAAACTGATAGAGCCATCCATAGTTAGCATATCAGACTAGTAATTGAAATTAACTTCAACCGAGCACAGATTAATTGTCTCTCTAACAAAACTATAGATCAGGAGCATTTAGTTGCTACAGCTGAAGGGCCCATCTCTTACTTATGCAGCAGGTCTCTTTTTTCTATGCCTTCCCCTTCAGTACCGACACACAGAATGTGGAAGCCATTTAATTAAAAGAGCTCTGTCTCCCAGGCTCCTAGGAACCAAAGCTCAAATTCCGAATGTGGTCTCTACCCAAAGCTATTCTGACCATTTTATAAATGAGAAGTTTACGGGGAAAAAATCTACGTTTAGTACATCTCATTCGCCCTAAACTATCGATCTGTGTGCCTCCCAAATAAGACAGGGCTTTTCACCATGTGCACCTAAAACATAAACACCCATGCTTGCCTTCATGCATGTGGAAGACATTCTGTTTCTCGGGATCCTGGGATCCTTGAGTGAGGCCTCTGCCAGGAGCACGCAGCCCCTTGCTGAAGGTACAAAGCCTACAAAACAAGATAAACAACACTAGAGTAGGTTTCATGGCATCTCGGCAAAACCAGCCCCTTCTCCCAGAACACTTGGCTATTCCATACCCTTAGTATACACTTTCTTGTAAGGATCTGTACTTGTTTCTCCAAGGTCTGTATACTGGCATATGAGGCTACCCCATAAATCATCTGACTAAACAGTTCATAGAGAAGAGACCAATTAGCTAACAATCTACAAAATAAATAAAAGATATCAACCAGGTTTAATGGATTTATTCTTGCTTTTTTATTAGCTTCAGAAGGCCCGAATCAATTTGGTAAATGGCTGAGTAAATTAATTATGAACATTTGTTTTGTTCTTTATTAACACACCATATTTCATCAATAAATAAGCTAAATTCAATTATAAGTTAATAAACTTTAAAAACAGAATTAACCCTTCCCAAACCCAAAGAGAGTATTAACTGTGGGCAGAAATTTCCTAATCCCCAAACAAAATAAAAACTATTTACCCAATTATGACTAGCCTAATCTGTCAAAACAAGTTAAGTTGGTTTTGGTTCACTGTTTCTTAAGTGTTGACTCCTAACCACTATCATATCATGGATAACACACATATAATACCAGAAACTGACAAAGTAATCTGACTGCACAGCTGAAGAAGGCAAGGCACTGACAAGGTCAAGAACTCCAGATACTGTTACTCATTCTAGTTCAAGTTATTAGTAAATTCTTACTATCTCAGGCCAGGACAAGTGAGGACGAACTCCGCTACCTCCCCCCAAAAAAAGTTTCTTCATCTGTAAAATGGGGTTATTATAGTACTTATCCTAAGGGGCTGTCGTAAGGATAAAGGAATTCACATCCACACACAAATGCATCTGCAGGCAAGCTGCTCTTTTCACAATCTCAGGCTACTTCCCTTTTACACACAAGGTGCTGAGGTGGAGGGAGAGGAAGAATGATTTAATCACCACCCAACACCTCAGAACCTCAGGGTTACTGGCTTATTCCCTGATAAGACCTAGGGTGTTTTACTGCAAAACCCCTAGGCCATCAGAAGAAACTGTCAAGAGGCTTAGGGACTCGGGCCCTAGGACTCCCTGATTGAACCTTTCCAATGAAAGAGACCAAGGAGCCCAATCTCTTCATGGCTTGTCTGAGAAGTCACAGAAGTCACCTAAGGTGTGGAAAAGAAGGCTCTTGGGTCTGTTCTGGGTCCCAAGCTTAGGGTGGGTATCTGGGAAGAGTTTTCAGTACAATAACAGGCAATGCCACTCACAGGCCCTCCTTTTCGGGGAAATGCCTCAATTTAGAAACTAAACGAATTCAGTGACTCTTTTGTGAGACTGCCCACTAGTCAAACAACCTAATCATCTTGAATAGTCTGTATTCATTTATGAACTCTTTCACGAAACAACTAACAGAGTACCTACTTAAGATTCAACAAGACTCAACAAGAAAGCAACGCAGGTTTACAGGAGTTACTAGTGCAAAGAAAGAGACTTCCAAATTGGGGGAGAGGAAATCAAGAAAGTTTTCCTGGGAAAAGGCACATGGCAAGATGATGGAACTTTGTAGACGGCCCTTCACACAAGCTCCTACGTAAGCTAAAGTCAACTGCGCCCCTTCCCATAATGACTTTCAATCTGTCTAAATAGTGTTAACAAAGCTTTTATTTTTTAAGTGCTATACACATTAGAGAGACAGACAACCTTTTTCAACTAATAGCAAAATCCACAGGGATAGTGAGAGAGATCCAGGACCCCCAAGACAAATGACGGAGATCACGGTCATTCAGAACCAGTATGGGCCACGCTAGGAGAGATGGTGCACCTGTAGCATGATGATTCCAGAAGCTGTAACAGGGGTGAGGCCCCTGGGGGCCCAGCCAGGCAGAAAGAAGCTGGAGACAGCTGGAGTGCTCCAGTGAAAAGGGTTGGGGGTGGGGGGCCAGACTTGTCCTAGAGTTTAACTTCTGAGGTCTTAACTGGGCAAGCTGGCAGGTGACACACAGAAAAAGGCACCTTCCTTGTCCAAGTAACCTAATCAACGCACCACCTCGCCCTACAGGGCCTTGCTGCTCATTAAACGTAAAGTTCAAATCAGCACCAAAGGTCCTAGGCACACAGTCCTGACTTAGGTCGTGGCAACCCAACAGGTGCCCCGCAGTCTCTCCCCATATTACAACACACGTAACCCGGAGTCCAAGTGGGTCAAGCACTTAACCCTAAAAGGGAGCTCCCAAGGAGGGCAAAGGCTGTAAGATGAAGTGCTAAACGCCAGCTGACAAGTGGCTACCCCCAAACCCCACCCCTGATGAGCAAAGAGAAAGGAATTTCAGGGAACACCCAACTTCCTCCCTTAAAGTGCCGCTTCGCTTTTAATATCAAACTCCACTCCAGAAGGTGGGGGTCGCGGGGCTTCATGCGGGGCCAGAGGGCGCCTGTCCAGATGCCGTAGCGGAACGCGGGCGCCCCTTCCCACCCGGCCCTGCTTTCTCCCCCCGAACCACTGCATCACTCTCGCGGTTCCTACCGCCCGGGCCCGCTAGCAGCGCGAAGGGCGGGCGTGGGCGACCCCCGGAAGGCGCCACGCCGGACCCCTGCCACTTACCGCAGCGCTGCCCGCCTCATCTCGCCCCGAGGCCGCGCGCGCAACCGGAGACCCGGGCCACGCGAGACAGCTGACGGAGGGAGTAAAGAGAGCGCGAGCGCGAGCACGAGCGCGAGACAGACCTCACTCCCCTAAGACCGCGCCCTCGCGGGGGCTGCCGCCCGGGGGCGGGACCCTGCAGCTCAGGGGCGGGACCTTGCTGCCCAGGGGCGGGAGCTTGCTGAGGAGCGGGGTGGGCTCCGGGCGCCTGCAGCCTCGCTCATTGGCGGAGCTTCCCACTCGATCAGCCGCGCAGGGAGCGTAGCTACCCACCAGACGGGCCTATCCCCGCCGTTGTTAATTAAAGACACCACACAGCACGGCCAGCGTGTGACGTGGAGGCGGGGAGTCCTTGGAGCTTGTCTCCGTTATCCCGCTTCGTCGAAGGCCGCCCAACCATGACCCCCACGCCTCCCCACTCCCAGTCCATGGTTCTTGCCCTTAGCTGCACGTTGGGAACTTCTGGGCAGCTTTCCGGAACACTGATCCCTGAGCCCCACCCTCTGGGTATTCCTATTTATTTAGGAGTCCGACAGGGTCTTTAGAACATCTAATGGCTCCCGGAGGTGATGCTTTACGTAAGCAAAGTTAGGAACCTCTGAGGTAAATGGGGGAAAAAATTCTATTCTAGTCTTAGCCTGCCCCCTAGTGTTTGAAGTTGGAGATTTTGGCTGGCCCGGAAATATTCAATGCCCGAGAGTGAATGATTTTACCCTATGACCTGATTCTCCGTTTCATTCAAGGAATTTTCATTAAACCGTTGGCAGTGCGCCAGACGCTGTTGTAGACGCTGAGCATGCAACAAAATAGACAAAAACCCCTGCCCTCAAGGAGTTTACCTTAGAAGGAAAATAAGTCAGCAAGTTAGCAAATAACATAATTTCAAATGTGGTAAAGCAGTCTAAAGAAACAAAACAAGGTAATGGGAGAGGATATTTCCAGAATATACACAAGTCTTGCTTTGCCCCTGAAGTTGTTTATTTCCTAGGAGGCAACGTCCATATTGTATGCTTTTATGGTACAACATGCTTAGTAAAAATGTGTCGATTTTAATTAAGCTGACTTTTTAAAAAATCACTTCATAAATTACAAATGGAAAATGGTCTTTGGTTTTGTCTTTCTCCTCTACCTACCTGTCCCTTTTATCAGCCCCACATCCAAAAGACTCTCCTTTCAGCCCGCAGGGATCTCCTTCTTTTTTGTTCACATTGTCTGTACCTTTTCAGTAATGGTTTTATTATGCTTTGTGTCACCTATGCTTTTTAATACTCTACCACACCTAACATAGTACAATAAATATTTTATTGAATTACACCATTTTGTCTACTTTTTACTTGAACTTTTCATTAATGCAATGTCAGGGTCAGAGAGGAAAATTAAATGCAAGAGAATTTTTCAGGTTATATCCATGGGATAATAACAGATAGGGACAGCTCATGATTTTTGTGCAATCACGTCACCTTCCAGCCAGACACATTCTCATCAGCGGATAAATGATGTTGACTTGGACCAGAACAGCTGAAACCAGGGACTCAATGCCATGAAGGTGCTTCTCTTGATCACTTAGCTTTCCTTTGCACACTGGCCTGATTCTTCTTTCTCTGTATAATGTCTTTCTCCACATAGCAAAAGAAGTTCCTGAACTTGACATCTTATAACCATAGCCACATGCATGGAGACTGTCCTAAATTTATGTCTCCCAAGTACAAAAATTCCTGAGAAGAAAGAGGATTGAAAGGTATAAATTTCCAGTTATAAAATAAATAAGTCATGGAGATGAAAAAGTCCAGCATAAGAAATATAGTCAATAATATTTTAATAACTTTGTATGGTGACAGATGGTGGATGACACTTATCATGCTGAGCATTTGAGTCATGTATAGGACTGCTGAATCAATATGCCATACATCTGAAACTAATACATTATTTTATGTCAATGATACATCAATTTAAAAAAAAAAAAAGTCCTGAAAAGAGATTCACTGGCCCAAGCGGGATCAGGTACACACCCCTGAATGGGTCAAATGTGACAGCAGGGCAAGGTCATATGATTGGCCCATGTGGCTTACCAGGAATCCCCTCACTCAGACCCATGGCCAAGTGCTAGATCACAGTCTACTTACGTGGCTATTTCCAACAGTAACCACATAATGGGGTAATGGCACACTTCTTAGGAAAGGAGGACTAAGCAACCAAGCCCACAGATGCCCACTACAGACAGAGTCTAAATGGGAAAAAATGATCCCATCACTTAACCCACTTACCTCAATTCTGACCTGACAGAACTCCTGCTACACACGGCCTACCCAGCAGCCATCCGCGTGTCTACAATGTTCTCTTAAAACAGCTCAGCAACCCTGATTTCTGTATGTGTATTGTTGTAAAGCATACATGTTATACCAAATTTTGGGGGGCAGGGATAGAAGGCAAGGTGGCCAACAATCAGACCAGGAAACATGCAACAGGTTGTATAGTGGTGAGATCACTGTCCTTAAGTAACAGATTCTCCACCCCACCTCTTTGTTTCCTGTTGTGTTCCATTGGTTCCATTTTGATTTGGTGTCAGGGTAACAGAGATAGTGTCAGATGTATCATTAAAATAAAAGGCACCTGATCCTGCATCGACAGATACGTAAGGTATTATTAAGGTCATTATTACAAGTAGAAGAATAAAATCAGGTTAAAAAAGAAAACAACAGGGGCGCCTGGGTGGCTTAGTCGGTTAAGCGTCCGACTTTCGCTTAGGTCATGATCTTGCAGTTTGTGGGTTCAAGCCCCGCGTCGGGCTCAGGGCTGACTGCCAGCTCAGAGCCTGGAGCCTGTTTCAGTCTGTGACTCCCTCTCTCTCTGACCCTCCCCTGCTCACGCTGTCTCTCTCTCTCTCTCCTAGACATAAATAAAACATTAAAAAAAATTAAAAAAAAAAAAAAAAAAACATTGTTTGTTCAGGGCACCTCCTGAGTGGCTCTGTTGGTTAAGGGGCCGACTCTTGATTTCAGCTCAGGTCATGATCTCAAGGTTTGTTGAGATCGAGCCCCATATCAGGCTCTGTGCTGGCAGTGCAGAGCCTGCTAGGGACTCTCTCCACCCTTGCCCCACTCATGCTCCCTCTGTGTGTGTGTGTGTGTGTGTGTGTCTGTCTGTCTCTCTCAAAAATAAAGAAAGAAACTTTTTTTAAAAATAGCAAATACTTAAAATATGTCATACTATTAGTGACATAGGATCAGAGGGCCTCCTTAGGATAGGACCACTTCATTTCAGGGTGTCATCTTGAAATAGAAGTGCCGCTTTCAATAAAAGAGGACTTAAACAGTGCAATTTCAGCAGTGTCTTCCCTACCAGTGCCTAACCTTCTGATCATTCTTCACCCTGTCATGCCCACTCTCTCTCCCATTTAACCCACTTGAGCCAACAAATTCAGTTCTCTTCCATTTATTCCTCACCCTGGGTCCTATTTCTCTCCATTCTCTTGCACCGTCCATATTTTTCCACACCACCTCGGGTGCTACCATCCCAGCTGGGAAATAGAGTCCTGTTAGTCCTCAGGGTAGCCCGTTTAGCTGGGCTAGCGTAGAAGCCAATTCTACTGCTCCTGGGGCAAGGAAAGGTAACAAGTACCTGTGACACAATTATAGCTGCACTGGGATGCGCAGCCACGAAGGGAACAAAGCCGTAAACCTATTTCACTCCCTTCGCAGAAGCTCGCGCTTCACAGTGACGTAAGCTTTCAAAACTCACTTTACAGTAAGGATGTGTATATTTCGTGTATGCTAAAATCATGCCGGCTATTTGAATTCATAAAACATGCTTTTGGGTATAAATTTGTATTTTGTGGGTTTTGGAGATGGGACCACACAAAAACCAGGTGGTGACAGTAGTACAAATTTATGTTATCTTTAGAAACACTTGGGGTGCCTGGCTGGCTTAGTCGGTTAAGCATCTGATTTTGGCTCCAGGTCACGATTTCATGGTTCCTGGGTTCGAGCCCCATGTCGGGCTCTGTGCTCTCAGCTAGCTCAGAGCCTGGAGGCTGCTTCCGATTCTGTGTCTCCCTCTCTCTCTGACCCTCCCCTGCTCACGCTGTCTCTCTCTCTCTCTCTCTCTCTCTCTCAAAAATAAATAAAACATTAAAAAAAAAGAAACACTGACATTACACTAGCTGGTTCATCTTTATGTGTGATATTTACAGGGTTGTTAGACTGCCTTGGTCTGTTTCTATAAGTAACTAGCACATTGCACAAGTCACCACATATGGCTTCTGTTTGGCCTCATCTGTGGAGGGAGGAGAGAATTCTTTTGCCCCTAAAAGTCTCTTCTTCAAAGCCGCCATTTCCTCTTCTAGGTCCTACTAATACCCACAATTCCTCACTCCTCATGTATTGCTCAGGCTCATCCATCTCCCTCACCCTGGCCGTGGCAGTACTCACAATACTTCCCTGAGGAGATAGTGACACACACACACACACACACTGAGAGCACTCTGCTCGAATGCTCTCTGCTCAAATGTACTAGAGTAAATGTCTCAGGCCACGGCTGCCAGAGCTTGAGTTTGCTATTAGCGGGCATAGTGAGGGCACCTGACAGTATCGAGACTTAGTGTCGGGACCCTACAGATACAGTGTCGCTCGCAGGAAGCTCAAATTAAATAGCTCAGCGATTGGAGCTGCTCCATCTCTAACTGAAGTCTGTGGCTTCCTGTCTGGGACTATAAAGGTTGAGAAACACTCTGGGTGGAAGGTGAAGGAGTGGATGAGAGGGAATTAGAGGGGCGTTCTCTGTTGATGGGGCATGTTCAGAAGGCTCGGAGTCCTGTCGAATCGTTCCTGGATCAAGAGCTCCACCAAGACCAAGCTGCTTCCACAAAACCAGCCCACGCTGCAGAGATCGAACATCAGATTGGTCCCCACCAAACTCCTGGGCTTCCTGCCCCGTCTCTAATACCGCCACCGCCACCATTTCGTCTCCTCCCCTCGTGCCACCCCACTTCCTCCTCCTGCACCACAGGCACCCACAGAGATTCACTGACATTTGAGACATTAACAATACAGACATGAATAAGGCACAGTCCCCGACCGGGATGCAAAGGACTCTTGATAC